CCCACGCGCGGCCGCGTGGCTAAGGCGCGAGGCGCGGCGCCGCCCTCCTCGCGGGAGCGCGTGTCCGACTTGATCTTGACGAACGGCGCTTCGGCCAGCCTCTCGGTTGCGTGCGCGCCTGCGGAGCGGAGGGATTCGCCGAGCACCCGTGAGGCCCGTGTCCGTGCATGTGGATGCGGCGCCAGCGCGCAGCACCCGCGCTCGCGCCGCGCTGGCCAGCTCGCGGCTAGCGTGCAGCACGGGCCAGCCCCACGTGCCGGTCCTCGGCCGCGCGGAAGCCCCGCGCAGGTACCGTCCCTCACGCCACCCACCCCTGCAGCGTGTGCGTACGCATCCGGGGCCCCCCCGCGCCGTGGCCGCTCAGCGGCCGTGCGCGGGCGCGCTGCCCCGTGGCGAAGCCAGCCGACCGCCCCCCTGCCCGGTCGCTCACGGACACGCCCTGCAACCTGTGCTGGCCACACTCACGGCGGGTCCTCCACGGCCCCGAGTCTCGCCGCGGCCCAGGCTAGCCTACGGCCCTGCGCCAGGTGGACACGTCCTGGCAACCGGCTCATGGGGCCACGCCCACGAGCGGCCGGATGCCCAGGCCGCCCGGCACGGGTCCTCCCTCGCCAACGCCAGCTACCTCCCCACGCTCGTGGCCCATCGGTGGCCACTGATGCCCTCGCAACCTGTGCTCGGGCGCGCAGCACTCACGCACGGGGTGCCCGCCATGCCCCGAGTCTCCTGGCACCCGCTAGCCTCCAGCCGCCGTGCTCCGAGGTGAATGCCCGTTGCAGACCTGTGCTGGGGCCACGGCCCACGAACGTGGGTGTTTCCTCCCTGACCCTTCGTGGTCTCCTCCCGCCCCGAGTCTAGCCACGCCCCGCCCAGTGACACGCTTGCAACCTGCTCGTGCGGCCACTGCCCGACCAACGGGCGCCCCCAGCGGTGGCTCCCACCTCGGGCTAGCCCCTCCCTGCCCCAGGTGGACTTACTCCCTGCCACCTGCATGGCCTACGCCCACCGGTGCCCCCCCAGCCCGAGTCTACAGCACCCACTAGCCCCACCCTGGCCCTGCCCAGGACACGCCCTGCAACCTGTGCTGAGCCACATCCACGCGCAGGGTGGCCCCCAGCCCCGCTGTCTCCGGGCGCCCCGGCTAGCCCCGCCCGCTGCCCACGGTAACGCCCTGCAACCTACGCTGGGCCACCGCGCCGAACCTCGAATTATGCTGCCACCCCCCCCTCCCCTTCACACCGCCCAAGCGACCACGCCGCCCATGTCACAACCCCCTCCGCCTGGCCCCCCACGTGACCGTTCCTCAGGTCCGCCCGCACCCTGTCCCTTGGCGGCCATGCACCCCGGGGCGCGCCCCAGTGCCTCGGCCTCGCGAATCTGCCTCCCGCCAGAGGTCTCACCCAGACCGTCGCCGGCTGGGACCTGTTTGACGCGGCGCTTCCACGCAGAGCTCAGGGTCTCCCCGGATTGTGGCCCCCCTCCCGGGAAGGGCGCGGGGGGGGGGGGGCCGTAGCGCCCGGACCCTCGACGCCAGGATGCGCGCCCCGCTCCAGACATTGACCTCCGGGTGCCCCCACCACGCGATGACCGACTGGCGCTTCACCCCTCAGCCGCTGTGACCTGCGCCGCTGGCTGCCCCTGTCTGAGGGCGCGCCCACGCCACGTTGGCGTGCCTCGGTGGTCCCCTCCCAGGGTTGGCTTTCTAGTCCCAAAGTACTCCGGCCACACCGACCCGGGTGACATACCGCGTCCTCCCGGGCGTAGCCCATAAGGCATTTCCCCCCGCGCTCCCCCACGCTCCTCGTCCAGAGCAGGCAGCGCCTGGTCCTGGACCTGGGTGGTGTCTGTCGTTTTTCTTTGTTTTGGAGGAAGAGTCTCACTCTGCTTGCCGCGCGGGCGGTAGGGAGTGAGTTGCCCTGGCGTCAGCGCCTGCGGGCTCACGCGAGCACCACGCCTCAACCTGCCTGGGCTCGAAGCGATTCCTCCTTGCTCAGGCCTCCCGAGTAGTGGGTAGCTACAGTGCCATGCGCGCACCGAGAGTTTCGTATGATACCTGTATGTCAGGCTTGGCCAATGAATTCTTTCTCGTCTATAGTAGGAGACAGGTCCGCTCGCCTGTCTCCAATCCGACGCTGGAGCGATCCTCGGCGCCCTGCGGCCTCCCAGAGAGCGCGGGATGCGCAGGGATGACAGGCGTGAGCCACCTCGCCCGGCCTGGCCCCGGTCTTGACCTCTAGGAGCGCCCACCCCTCCCTAGGCGACGCCAGCTATGACAGCCCCGACTAAGCCCACTCCTGACTTCAAGTGGCCCATCGCGTGGGGGCCCACCTCCACCCGAGTGGCGCCCACGCCCTGCCCTGCGAGACACTCCATTCCTGTCTCCCAGCCCCGACCCCTCACGGTGGCCTGCCCCAGCAACCCCGACGGGCCCACTGCCCGCTCCAGGAGGCCCCAGCCTCCAGCGACCTCACTCCTGCCCCCACGTCCCCTAGCCCCCTCACCCACAAGCCTCATCATGACCCCCCAGGTCCCTTAAAAGACCACGGCCAGTCTCCAGCCCCAGAGACGGTACTTCTCCCTGTCACAGGTGATGCTGACCCCGTCCCTTCGCCCCCCGTGCCCATATCACGCTCACTGTCTCCCCTGGGCCCTGCCTGCCCCATCGAGTGCCATTTCATCGTGGTGTGGCCCCCTTTCTCCTGCCCTAAGGTGCCTTCCTCTCCCGCCTCCCCGCCCAGGGCGCGGCCCCTCCCGTCCCTGCACCCAGGAGCCACCGGCCCGCCAGGCACCCCTCCTGCCTCTGAGGTCCACCTGGCAGGTGCCCTCCCCCGTCCCCACGCTCCTCCCGGGCCCCCCCGACTCACAACTGGAAGCTCTCGTTGTACTTGGGGGCCCAGCTGTTGTTCTTGGATTTGGTGGCAAACTTGCGTTTCTTGTCGCTGAGGTGGGGCCCGATGATGTTGACCTCGATGAACGGCCGGAAGATGCCAGAAGTCTGCCACTTGAGGTCGTTGGCAGCCACCACTGTTGGGGGGGAAGCAGAAGGTCAGACCGGCCAGGGGGCCCCAGCGGCCTCTGTGGCTTTCAGAAACCTGTCTGAAATGAAGACGACATCTCCTAGCACGCCCCCGCGGCTACGCGTGGCCACGTGACTGACTTCTTCTGGCCGAAGAAAGGGAGCCCGGAACTTTCTCCTTCCCCTAGCCTCAGCCTGCAATGCGCGTGGAGGCTGAGCGCTTTAGAACCCTGTAGAGGGGGGAAAGCCCACTAGGGACTAGAGTGCAAGAAAAGATAGCAGAGGCATCGCCACAGAGTCCTGTGGCACTGTTTGCACTCCTGGATCCAGCCATGCCTGAAGGTGCCTGCCTCTGGACTTCTTGGTTTTATAAACCATCGGACAAAAAAAAAAAATGTTCTGTTTTTTTTCTTTCTTTTTCTTGTTTTGAGACAGAGTTTTACTCTATGACCCCAGGTAGAGTGCAGTGGCATCATCACAGCTCACAGCAACCTCAAACTTTTGGGCTCAATCAATCCTCCTGCCTCAGCCTCCCAAGTAGCTGGGACTACAGGCATGCACCACCTCCTGCCTCAGCCTCCTGAGTAGCTGGGACTACAGGTGCATGCCACGACGCCCAAACCAATTTTTCTATTTTTAGTAGAGGCGGGGTCTCGCTCTTGCTCAGCCTGGTCTCTAACTCCTGAGCTCAAGCCATCCTCCCGCCTCGGCCTCCCAGAGTGCTGGGATGACAGGCGCGAGCCTCCGCGCCAGGCCCCAAAATACTTTTTCTTGCTTAAGCCAGTTCCGAGTGTGGTTCCTCTCTCGGAGCCCGGTGGGTCCTGGCCGAGGCAGCCTCCCGCCCGCGGCGGCCACTCACCTTTCACCGTGACCTTGTGCTCGCCCGTTCCCGGATGCGTGAAGAGCTCGACATGGACGGAGACTTCACCCACGGGGTCTTCCACACCCGAGCCTGGGCAGGGCGGGGGGGGGGTGCTCGGTGTGAGCTCCGTTCGCTCCGCCCCACCAGGAGGGACCTTGACTACCACCCACCCACCACGTGCTGGCGGCACCAGGTCTCCACCCTGACGGGAACGCGCCCAGGGGGCCAGGACGCCGGGTCCTCATAGGGAGCCAAGAATCCTGGGTTCTGGCCCTTAACTGTCCTGCTGTGTGTTCTCAGGAAGATCTCTTAATCTCTCTGAGCCCAATGCGATTGCTTTCCTTTATCTCCTTTCACCAGCCACCATGCTGTCCAAACTCAGTCCTCCTGTCGCACCACCTCTTGGCAGCCTCCGACACCCAGGCCTCCTGTGCTGGCTTCTCCTCCCGGAGCATGCCGTGCCTCGCAGGCTCTCGCCCCACAGACTGGCCACTCGTACACTGGACAGTCCTGCCCCCTCTACCTTCAAGCTGCATGTGGAACCGGACCCGTGGCTTTGAGCCCCGCCCGGGTCCTGCCTCCCTCCCTGTGTGCCTGGACTATTGCAGTGGCCTCCTCGCTGGTCTCCCTGCCTCCGCCCTCCCGGCTACTCCCAACACGCCAGCCAGAGCAATCCTTTTAGGTCAGACCCCGTCCCTCCTCTGCCCGAAACTGTTCCAGGTCCCCCACTCCCTCTGAAGCAATGGGGTCTCTTTTGGTGCCTTGAAATGTCCTTCTCAAGATGCCTCGCTACCACCTCTCCTGCCTCAGTCTCCCCCGCTCTGGCCCTCGTTAGCTTTGACCCAGCCCCACGGGCCACCTCAGTGCATCGCCTGACCCAGAAACCCCGTCTCTGCTGCAGTGGCAGCTTGTCGGGGGAGCTTCCTCTTTGCCCGCCCGCATTCCCCTTTGGCATCTAAGTTTCTGCTGAGAAATGCCCCCACGCTGGCCTCAGAGCTGTGGCCAGGTAGGATGGGCTCCCCCCCACACACACACAGCTGGCCAATCAGAGCAGCCCCTGTCCATGGCCAACAGTGATTGGCTTAGGGATGGTCATGTGACCCAAGCTGGGCCAATAGGAGTTGGGCTTGGGACTTTGGCTGTGACGTCAGAAAAGGCTCTCTCTGGCGCTAAGAGGGCCAGAGAGAGGAGAGCCCGCCCCCACGGGGGTCGCCATGGAGACCAACGGCCAATGGTATGGTTGGAGACTCTGGATCCAGCTATTCCGGAAGCCAATCCAACCCCTCATCTTTCAGTTGCAGAGCCAAACATTCCCTCTTCCGCTTGGGTCATGAGGTGCACTTCTTCTTTTTTTTTTTTTGAGTCATGAGGGTGCACTTCTTCTTTTTTTTTTTTGAGACAGCAGTCTCACTTTGTGCCCTGGCTAGAGTGAGTGCCGTGGCGTCAGCCTCGCTCACAGCAACCTAATCTCCTGGCTCAAGCAATCCTCCTGCCTCAGCCTCCTGAGTAGCTGGGACTACAGGCATGCGCCACCATGCCCGGCTAATTTTTTCTATATATATTAGTTGGCCAATTAATTTCTTCCTATTTATAGTAGAGGGGTCTCCTCTTGCTCAGGCTGGTTTCGAACTCCTGACCTCGAGCATCCGCCTGCCTCGGCCTCCCAGAGTGCTGGGATTACAGGCGTGAGCCACTTCGCCGGGCCTAAGTACTTCTAGATTTTGAGACAGAGTCTCGCTCTGTCGCCCAGGCTAGAGTGAGTGCCGGGCGTGCAGCCTCAGCTACAGCAACCTCAACTCCTTGGCTCAAGCATCCTCCTGCCTCAGCCTCCCAGGTAGCTGAGACTACAGGTGCGTGCCACCATGTCCGGCTAATATTTCTATTTTTAGTAGAAATGGCATCTCGCTCTAGCTCAGGCTGGTCTTGAACTTCTGACCTCAAGTGATCCTCCTGCCTTGGCCTCCCAGAGTGCTAGGACTACAGGTGTGAGCCACCGCGCCGGCCGAGGTGCACTTCTGTTCGGGCCACCACAGTGTCCTCCCGAATGTCTGGTTCTGACCGGGACCGTGGAAGAGCTGGGCCGAAAGCTCCTGTCTAGTCCCCCCGCCTGTGAGACTCAAGAAGGGATTCCGCCGGGCCTGCAGAGCCTGTGGCCGCCAGCACCCCTCAAGGTTCCTTCCCAGCCCCCCCCAGGCAGCCCCCACATTTTGGAATCGCGCCCATGCACAGGGAGAACAAGGGGAAGTCGGGGTGGGGGGGAGACTGGTCACTCGAGGGTCGATCGGTACTCGCCGCTGGACAGGAAGTGACTGAGGGTCAGGGACAGAGGGGCGAGAGACCCCGTCAGCCCGGGACTGGGGCGTGTGCCCATCCAGACCCGCCTTTCCTGTCATCCTCCGGTTCCCGCGTCCCCCACATCAAACGGCGATGCTTCAGCCTCCCCGCCCCCCCAGGCTGATCTTCAGAGCAAGCTCAATCCGGGGCCAGACGGGTGCCAGGGGAGCCGGACCAGTGGGGGGCGGGAGCGGGAGCACCGAGGGAAGCTAGTAAAGGGGAGGAGGGCAGTGCTGGGCGCCCCCATCCCGTGGTTTGCTGGCTCCACCGGGCAGGCTCTCTCCTGGGCCTCTCTGCTCCCCCAACCCCCACCCTAGCGCCCCGCGCCCGGACCTGTGCCGGGGAGCTCCTCGGCGAAGCGGTTTGCCCCTCGGCGCTCACGCGTCCTCATCTGTGGGGTGGCGGCCCCTCGCAGGGCGCATGCGAGAAAGCACTTCCGAGAGTCCCAGGGAAATGCCGGGCACAGGTCTGGCTCCAGAGTAAGGGCCTGTGATAAATATCTTATCCTTTCTTCTTTTCCTTTTCTTTTTTTTCTTTTCTTATTCTTTCTTTTCTTTTTTTCTCTTCCTTTTCTTATTTCTCTCTCTCCTTTTTTCACCTTTCTTTCCTTTCTCTCTTCCTCTCCTCTTTCTCTTCTTTCCTCTTCCTTCCTTTCCTTTCTTCTTTCCTTTCCTTCTTTCCTTGTCTCTTTCTCCTCTTTTTTTCTTCCTTTCTCTTTTCTTTCTCTCTTCTCTCTCTCTCTCTTTCTTTCTTATATTTTCCTGTGCTGGGGTCTCGTTCTGTTGCCCCGGGCATGGCGGTCACCAGGGTGCGATCCCACCCGCTGCAACACTTGGGAACTCTGGGCCCCAGGCGGATCCCCCAGGGCCTCCTGAGAACTGGGACTATGGGCGTGTGCCACCGTCCACTGCCTGGCTGTTTGAGAAACGTATTCTCTTCTCTCTCTCTCTCTGCTGTTTGTCACGAGATGCGCCCCTTACTGTTGGCCCAGTCTGGAGCCCTGATCCGACGTGATTGTTTTCGTACTCGTTGGGAAAAACGGACCATCAGGACGACAATAAGCAACCGCGGACGAACAGTAAACAACTGGCCTGCGAGCTCATCGCGGCCAGACGTGTGACTAAAATTTTGGGGATAGAGGGCCGTCCTAAATATGTCCCACGAAGCAGGTCTCCTTGGGACTGTCCCATTTTGACGATGAGAAAGGCTGGAGGGCCCGGGCCAGGCAGATGTTTGCCCGACTGGTGGCCCGGGCGACGCTGGACCTGGGACCTGAGC